TTTTTTTTCGCTCCAAATGTCAAAACATTCGGTCATGCGTGTCATAGAATAATAATAAAATATTACGATAAGGAGAAATATGTTAAAATTATCTTTGAAAAAAAAGCGGAATCCAATAAAAATGTGTAATATAAAAGTAATTAAATTTGAAAATGTTCACTAGTGCTTTACTGATTAAAAGTAATAAAAAATTACAGCGTTTACAGGGAAAACAATTAAAATTCACGTATAAACATAAATTGTATCGCAAAGGAAAACGCGTATTTAAGCGCTCAATTATTTATTGTAATAAATGAGCCCACTGAGTTTCTCGCCGGATCTTCTCAGTGGGTCGCGTTTCCGATCCGGTGGTAGATTTTACGAAGCACGGCTCTTGCTAGGGCTCGTGTTAGCAACGTCGTCAAGTTTGAGCCCCGTGAGCTCACCTACTAGTTAAGGTTACGCCGAAATAGCCTCCCAAGGCTCTCAGCTTAGGTAGGAAAAAAAAGGTAATAAATGCATAGTGGTTGGACGGTGTGCTTAATTAAGCATGTCATCTAGAACAAGAACGACGTCCGTGAGATATCTGCTGAGGCACACCGGGCGCGACGCAAGTTTCCGCAGCCCCGAACATGGCCGTTCTCAAGAGATCAAAAACATTGAAAGCTGCATTTGATCTATAGCGTTCGTATATATGAACGAAAAGAAAAACATCAATCTTATTCGCTTGCATTATCTCACTGCAAAAGTAGACAGCATGGAATACCTACCTTACGGGCTAATAATTCGGTTTTTGTTTTTAACAGCCGATATTATTCGACGTGAAATTCGTCCGTAAACACGTGTTGTGTGCGTATTTCCTTATCAATCCGCATCATCTGGTACTGTGTAATGAATTAATGAAAACGAAAGATTAGATTTATTTTAAATTACAATTGACATCATCGACAACCCCTCTTCACATCACTAGGTGAATCGCGTCATTCACTAATATGTACATCATCAGCTCTTATATCAAAGTGTTAGTCGATTTTCATTCCAAACGGGAATAATTGTATGCGTTTTGCAAGACACATATTAACTATCATTGCTTTTAACTAATTTGGTATTATCATTAATCGGATGTTTATAATATTTTAAATTGCCTAGTACTCCTCACNACCCCTCTTTACATCACTAGGTGAATCGCGTCATTCACTAATATGTACATCATCAGCTCTTATATCAAAGTGTTAGTCGATTTTCATTCCAAACGGGAATAATTGTATGCGTTTTGCAAGACACATATTAACTATCATTGCTTTTAACTAATTTGGTATTATCATTAATCGGATGTTTATAATATTTTAAATTGCCTAGTACTCCTCACCTCAAAAAAAGGTCACAGGCGGGCGCATCACGATGCTCAGCAATGAGCGATCGACTGAAGGAGGAGGAGGAGGAGGAGTACACCTCATAGAATGAGAACAGGAGGTCTCTACCTTATGTACCTGTCCAATATCGAAATTTGACAAAAATGAAGCACATAGAATTCCTTAAAAATAATAAAAAGACAAAAAAGTTACGTCAAAAAAGGTTACCGTAAAATACCGTACCTACGCGTAAGTAAAAGACAATTCCTGTAACTAATGTAATTATTGACTTGCTTGGCATATGCAAAATATACTCACATATTACTAATAAAGAATAATGAAATAAAAGACAATGTCCTACTAACACGTGGTCGACATTAGCCCATGTTTAGCTTTTTCTGAGCGGTTTTCTTAAGAAACGTCAATTAGAATGACTTCGTTGAACATGGCGCGGCCCTTTGATGTGAGTGTGTGGGGCGGGGACAGAGAACAAGCAGCTCGCTTTGAATATTAACCTCTCTAATATAAGCCTCTTATTATTGCATATACGCTTCAAGAAGTGCACCCAAAACGTCTTCTTGTAGAGAAGTACAGTGGCACCATACCGTCTGGTGGCGGGACGGGTCGCGTGTTGTCACTGCAGCTGAAGCACTAACGCGGCTAGCTTTGAGGGCTAGGATATTCATTTGCAATTCAATTGGGTCTTCAACCTCGTGTGAGATGGCCACATTGAAGTTCTGCGTCAGGGCGCGCTCTCTAGAAAAACTTTCACTGTAGGTACCATTTAAGTGAAACAAGAAGTTCAATGCGATAAAATAAGAATAACTGAGTAGATATCATAACGTAATTTTAGGTGAACGTCTTTTTACTTGCAAGTAGAGAAAAGTCAAAGGCAAAAGTCCACCAGGAAAATTCGACAGAAAAGCGATATATTCGGGCAGCCAGTCTCACACTAGCTTCAAATTTTACTGTTATGATTATATGGCTCTTTCAGTTTTGTCGTACTTGTGAAATAAATCTACCCAGATGGTCAGTGAGCAGTTTTTGTGGTAAGCAATGTCGGTGGCAAGTGGTCGCAATATGTGTCGTGGACGCAGCCCCGCCCTCTCACATCAAATATGCCGCCCGGCGCTTGCAGACGCGTCCTTATTATCTTATTTTAATGGATGCCCTCCTCTTTAATTAAAATATGATATGAATGATGTTTGCGACATACCAAAATCCAAGAAATCTATTATATATTTCACGAGCGTAAAATGATTAAGGTGCAACAATATTCTAGAAACCTTTCAGTCTTGTTATTTCATTATGCCACTATAGTCCAAACGGTGCGAGACGATCGGACGTGACACATGCCATCAATGTCATTTCCTCTCCGCTTTGACAGGTTGGTGTCGCATGACAAGCCGTCACTCGTACGCGTCTCCGTGACGTTTGGATGACATTTATTAGACGGATGCAACGGGATACTGATATATTTTGTGCGTGTCTTTAATTTTCATTAATATTGGTAACTAATTTGAATATGTTGCCACGTTAAGGTCAACTTTGCTTTAATTTGCTTTTATTATAATAATTATTTTTTCGCCACTATAATTGAAAAGCAGTCTTATCTGATTCGTACTGTAGTACATATTTAGTGTGCACTGATAAAAACAAGCTATCTATAGTCCAGTCGCCTTCTGGTGTAAAATACTGTTTGAATTCTAGCTTTTGATTTAAATACGCGCGCTAACAACATCTCGGCGGTTTGCGCATAAATTATCTTTATATTCTAATATAAACAACATTAAATCAAACACCCCTAGGGAATTACTTGTAATTTGTAAGAATTTCACACAATTTAAAGCCATTTAACAATAAAAACGAAAAATAAACTCCGATTCTTTCGTTCTTGAAGAGAAAAAAAGAAATATAAATCAATATGTGCCGCGTTAATAATGAAATATTTTAACAAGGTGACCGTTTTATGAGCGAGCNTATTCTAATATAAACAACATTAAATCAAACACCCCTAGGGAATTACTTGTAATTTGTAAGAATTTCACACAATTTAAAGCCATTTAACAATAAAAACGAAAAATAAACTCCGATTCTTTCGTTCTTGAAGAGAAAAAAAGAAATATAAATCAATATGTGCCGCGTTAATAATGAAATATTTTAACAAGGTGACCGTTTTATGAGCGAGCTGGGGATCGCGCCGGCTCCGAATTACAAAACGACAACAATCAACGGGTTACCAGCTCTACAAACGAAAAGCTCCAACAATCTCCAGGAGAAATTAAAATATATATTTTTCTCTACCGAGGCAAAGGAGTTTGTATTAAATGGTATTAAATGGCTATCAGAACAAATAGTTATTAAGAATAGCGCTACTCAGCTTGTGGCCTATGGTCAAACTCCCAATTTTAACGGCTGTCTATATAAATTTAAACCCAAAACGGGTGACTATTTCGCGGCAGAAATAGGCAGGATGTTGGTACCAATCCCGCCAGTAAACAATCATTTTAAGTTTCATTATTTTCTTACGAAATCGAAAAATTATAATGACCAATTTTGTATGCACTGCACGCATGTATCACAAATGCGATTAGCTTTGGACACTTTTCGATTCGGTATCATTAGGCGCGTATAGAATACCAGTGCTGGGAGTCTCGTAATTCTCACTCAATATTGCGTGTTCAATCCAGTATTTCTTTATAACTGGTAACATTGAAATTAGAGCGTTTTGTAAATGTCTGCGTGCGGTGGCGACATCAAAGTGGGTGTCGGTTTACACGGGCCCGTGACGTCAGCACATGTGCCGCTCCCAAAATCCCAACACAACACAAAACACTAAACCTACTATTATTTGCGTTTAATCCAATTGGAAGGGAATTACAACAATAATTAACTATAAGTAAAGCAATGGCGATTTGTTCTTTTCTGACGTACATGGTAGATGAGCCCAAAAGCCACCTGGAGGCGACAGGGTCCAAAGACGGCACCCACATTACGGATATTAATCCTTCCAACAGCAACACATTATTGTTTTATGCAAATAGGCAAGACTTACAATATATCTTCCTCATCATAGTCATATTTCATCAAACTTTGGTACTTTTTTTTTATTTATTTTTGTGGCTTAGATGGGTGGACGAGCTCACAGCCCACCTGGTGTTAAGTGGTTACTGGACTACAACGTAAATGCGCCACCCACCTTGAGATATAAGCTCTAATTTCTCAGTTAGTTATAACGGCTGCCCCACCCTTCAAACCGAAACGCATTACTGCTTCACGGCAGAAATAGGCGGGGTGGTGGTACCTGCCCGTGTGGACTCACAAGAGGTCCTACCACCAGTAATTACGCAAACTCTAATTTTGCGGGTTTCATTTTTATTACACGATATTATTCCTTCCCGTGGAAGTCATTCGTGAACATTTGTTAAGTACGTATTTCACTAGAAAAATTGGTACCCGCCTGCGGGATTCGAACACCGATACATCGCTCGATACGAATGCACCGGAGGTCTTATCCTTTAGGCCACGACGACTTCAAAACGACGAGGTCTTTCGCAGCTGTATGGCTTTTTTCAGTTAAGGTTGAAAAATAATTCTAAGTCGTGGGTGGGTAGGGTATGCCAATCTAGCTCATCTGCCTTTGTTAATAGTGATAAATTTCCCACGCAGATCCAAGCGGAGGAATGGGCAATATAGGCGTGGGCGGCTCGGGTGGTCAACAGTATGGAGAAGTCAACCAGTTGGGCGGAGTGTTTGTCAATGGAAGACCTCTGCCCAATGCTGTGAGATTACGGATTGTGGAACTAGCGCAACTTGGAATCAGGTAATCATGGTGATTTACCTCAATAGGAAGACTTGCATGCAACATAGATACGCTGATAGAAACGAACCACCGCCGTAACCTAAAAATGTAGAATCAGCATTTGAGTGAAGACATGTCATTACGTTCATTAAATACCTAAGTTGACCAAATGAACATGTGTATATAATTTCTCTAATAACTAAAAACACTTTTAAGATTAAACTCTAGTCCTTCTTCTTCTTCTTCGTCGCTTCCTCATTACTGAGGGTCGTGACCACCTTGGTCCAGTTTTTGCACTAGCTTGCTCCAATGTTGCCTGCATTCGGCCTGCTTAATACTTAATCTAGTCCTAGGTGACGATAAAAATCGTGAAGTGATCAACATCACAATGAGTTCTTGTACAATTTAATGATGTTTCAATCATAAAATCAGGCCTTGCGACATTAGCAGACAGCTGAGGGTCTCGCACGGATGCGTATCCAAAATACTGGCCAGATACCACGAGACCGGGTCCATACTCCCCGGTGCTATCGGAGGATCCAAGCCGCGGGTCACTACTCCGAAGGTGAGAAGATTAAATTACTTTCCATTATTATGTGTGTTGCGTAGGTATATATAAATATTAGAACAGAGAAGTCAAAAGTGGTTAAAATACACCACCCACTTTGCTCATGAGATTGAAGTTTCATCTGTAGCATGCGACGGCAGACCCTTCGATTATATTTTGAAGTAATGTTGCATGACACCGTACAAGTTCCAAGACCATTCCATATGTCGGTCTGCAAGGCTCCAACACCGACTGGTGAAAGATATTCCCTATCTTAAGAAATCAACTATCACGTTTCCAAGAAGCAATTGGACCGACGTACTCATGACTTCCCAGCATTGTATAAAAATCTTTAACATTCCAAAGTAGTGTTCATATTAATAAGCGCCGGTCCTGCAATGCAGTGCACTGAGGCTAATCCCACCTATCTACCAGCGTATCAAACAATACATTTCTCATGGTCATGTTTCCTACAGGTGGTTTCGTACATAAAGCAGTTGAAAGCGAAAGACCCTGGTATATTTGCGTGGGAGATCCGAGACCGGCTGTTAGCTGACGGGGTTTGTGACAAGTACAATGTGCCCTCAGTGTCGTCTATATCGAGGATATTGCGGAACAAGCTAGGCGGTGGGGCCTTGTACCCGGTACCGCCGCTGTACCCTGTACCGCCTCAGAGATGCTGGCCATTGCACCAACCATACGACTACTATGTCTATTTGCAGGTAACAGATTATGTTCTAACAAATGTTCTAACTTCTAACATGCTGTTAGATTCCTCTTTGTATGTATTTTTATTTATTTATTCCGTAGAAGGGTGAATCAGCAAGAGCCCACCTGGTGTTAAATGCTTACCGGAACTTATAGACTTCACAACGTAAATATCGCTTCATACCTTGACACATGAAGTTCAAGTCTCAACTATAGTTACTACATCTGTACTGTGTCGATCGGCTACTCCCCGCTACAAGCCGGAATGCCTGACTGTATCGTGAGAAAAAAGGGGGAGGAGGGTGGTAGGAACCCGTGCGGGCTTACAACACGCTCTACCCCTAGTAAATACCGCTTGGAGATCGCAGTACGTTACAACAGTACGCTGTAGTACTCAGAGAACGCTGTTGTACACTCCTCGAACTTTAATCGCCCTCTACAACAGACTCAGGAAGGGATGAAGTAGAGTAGCTATTGTTCTAAGCCACCGCACATCCATAACTGAAACTTGCATACAGGACTGTAACGGGAGCTATAATTCAACTTTCGCTAATTCTCGGTATCTGAATAGTTGGATGTTTTATATACGTAAACAATTAAATTGACTAATAATAATACAATAACATTATCCAGAACTGTTTCAAAACAGTGGATTTTACCTAATAATAATATATTCGGATGTTGATCAGAAGAAATAAGCTTTTATACTGCAGTAGCTTTCTTATTTACCTCACATCCGCACGGTTCCTTCCTAGTTCGGCCTATTTCAACCGTGAAGATAACACGCGCTATAGTTTTAAAGATGAAGTGGCTGTCGTCGTTTTGATAAAATTCCGACGAGTATATAATTATGTCGAGTTAGAGTCACCGGTGAGCGACGATTCTGAATGTCTGCCCACCTAAAGGAAATAATAACGATATTATTCATCAGTATCTTTGTTTAATTGACTGTTTTTCATCATCAGGGCAGACAGCACGGCGGCGGAGGAGCTCACCTAGCCCCGCACCAGCAGCCTCCGCACCACGCCCACGCACACGCGCTCTGACGCTACGCGACTACTGCACTCATGTGACAGTGACAATGACATTATCTCATAGTGACAAGTGTGAACTAAATCCGCGACTTTAGACTCCGTGACAATGTTTGTTAGCCGTGTGATCGTGGGTGATGAAGCGCCTTGACTGACATTCCACTCGGCTTGGAGCGGTGGTCAGCTTCTCTCTCTCTCTCTCTACGTAGCTCTCTTACAGTCAGTGGAGAGAAACGCAGCGAGTAGTGCTATAAAAACCTCAAAATAAATTGTTTAGTCGCGATTGAGTCATTCGTTGGAATGGCCAGAATTATAATATTTATACTATGTATTTCTTAGAGACTGCGTGCCCGCAGTGAGCGGTAATATAACCTCTAATTTATTAAGTTGTAAATGCTAGATAAACGAGAAAGTATTATGTAAATATAAGTCATATAAGCTGTAAGATAATAATTTATTGATAAGGAAAATATATATTCATTTTTGGGTCGGTAAGTAGCGCCAAGTGACCGGTGATGTCAGCCGTGACTCCTCGCAAGATATTGCGTGCCAGCTGACGGATCCCTTGATGAAGAGCTGTCTATTTGTGGTACAGTACCAACTAATATATAGATCATGAATGATAAACAAAATGTAGCTTAAAACTCAGTTACATAAATAGATACGGGGCGAACTTTTTTTTTATTGCTTGGATGGGTGGACAAGCTCACAGCTCACCTGTTGTTAAGTGGTAACTGGAGCCCATAGACATCTACAACGGAAATGCGCCACCCACCTGGATATAAGTTCTAAGGTCTCAAGTATAGTTACAACGGCTGCCCCACCCTTCAAACCGAAACGTAATATTACTTCACAGGCACAGGCAGGGCGGTGATACCTACCCGCGCGGACTCACAAGAGGTCCTACCGCCAGTAATTACGCAAATTATAATTAAATAAAAAAAAATGAAATAAAACTTATAATAACTTGTTGAAAAAGACACATACATACATATATTTTAGTGTGAGAGTTGGCCGAATACTGTTGTTGCGGTATGGTGTGGACCCACACGGGTCGGTGTCAACATGCACACCAGACATCCACTAAACCACTGCGCGCTCCCATCTGAACGGTTAAGACTTTTATTATGTTCTACCTCGTGTAGCAAGGGAGGCAGTCGGACTCCTGGAGCCTGGCGAGGACTATGAGCTCCGGTTACCGCTTAACACCAGATGGGCCGTGTTGCTACTGGGCTTGAGTTATTTTAAACCAAAAAACTAAAAATTACGTGCTGTCCAGAAACATCACAAAATGATATATATGACAACAATAATACATATATACCTACATACATACAATAAGAGTAGCACTGCGCGATTTAACCGTAAAAGTAATTATGTACTTCGTATTTGAATTGTAGTGCTCCGAGTCGCAATTAGCTCGCAAAATATTAATGTGTTCGAATTGTATACTTATAATAATAATATTATAATAACTAACTGGTTGTGATATTGACATAAATTAAATATCATTGCGGATAATAATAGATCCCGAAATGTAAATTTGCAGGAAACATTATTGATATTCACTAATTTAATAAATATTGCATAAAAATAATGTAATATTAATTAGTTCGTAATAGCTACGGCACGAGTTACGATTTCGATATAATATCTAGTTTGTTATCTATCTAAAATATCTAATAGTCTCTCGACGTATGAAGTTTTAATGTGAGAAGTGATCAGAGCATCGCCCGAGAAATCGTCACAAGAAAAGCACTAATTAGAACAGGCCGTCTTCAGGGCTAGCATGGAGCCTGGCGACGGACGTGTTTGACATTACTACAAATATAACATTTGCTCATAATACATTTAGTGCCATGTTTAGTGCCAGCAGCCCTATCCACCGGCTTAGGGCAGCCCTATTGTTTTGTTTTCCTGGCACACCTGGTGCTAATCGGTTAGGTGATGCCGAAGTCTCAATAGTGGAGTACAACGGCTGCCCCACCCCTCGAACATGAAGGTATGACCTAGTAGCAACAGCACCCCCCTCACAACACACTTTTAGACATAGTAACGACTCGGAAAACTGTAATTATGTGTTGTATACAATTATGCCTCATTATAATTTAAATTACCTGATGTACCACTAGTAGGTATGTGTATAATTTTATTTGTAAAAAGTTTTAGTGTAAGTTTTGTAATTGATATGTTTATAATGTTCAACGTGCAAAAAATAAAATGGTTTGTTGAGATGATTAATGTTGTTTTTGTTCATTTATTGTTATCGTTGTAGTACCCTGATCCATTAACAGTGTTTTTAGGCACCACAAGCACCGGTCACCGACCTCGTCGAATCCGTCGCTTGCGACGTAGGGCTCGACGAGCGAATTAGCCCATAGACACAGCCTACTGGGTTTCTCGCCGGATCTTCTCAGTGGGTCGCGTTTCCGATCCGGTGATAGATTTTGCGAAGCACTGCTCTTACTAGGCTCGGTGTTAGCAACACTTCGGTTTGAGCCCCGTGAGCTCACCCCCACACACGATAGGGTGAAGCTGAAATAGCATCTCAAGGCTATCAGCATAGGTAGGAATTACTACAAAAAAAAAACAGTTGTAGTAATAGTGAGGCGAGCTGGCTGCAATTCATTTTAGAAATACACAGACAACATAGTTGTTATGTGTATTGCCTTACCTCCAGCCTTCAGCCTCAATGCAATCGGTTTGTTTGTCATTGAATTACAATAAACAGTAAAAAAAGACGCGCAAAACCTTTGGCTGACCTGATGATGAATTTGAGAACTAATTGGATTACTGTACTGCATTTTCATCAGAACTTCAACACAAAATTGCCAAGTTTCATGACACAATAGTTAGATGTGAGTGGAAATTGAATTGAAATATATATATATTTTTTTTATTGCTTATATCGGTGGACGAGCTCACAGCCCACCTTGTGTTAAGTGGTTACTGGGGCGCATAGACATCTACAGCGTAAATGCGCCACCCACCATGAGATATAAGTTCTCAGTATAGTTACAACGGCTGCCCCACTCTTCCAACCGAAACGCATTACTGCTTCACGGCAGGGTGGTGGTACCTACCCGCGCGGACTCACAAGAAGTCCTACCACCAATAAAAGAGTAGTAGTAAGGCTGACTACAAACTGTTGGCGCTGGCGGATATAGAATTTGCTGGCGCGATAGCATTGACAGACATGTCTATGCTTGCCGTATAAGCTTGGCTTGCCAATAGCTCGAACACATCAAGAAGCAACTCACTATTATTATGCACCTTTACAACAAGATCCTTATACAAGCACGGATTTAAGGAAACCATGAAGAACCAGTTGTGTTGTTTGATTTTTTAAGTATTTTCAAGTGTCCGTATTCTGGTGATACGCCCGGTGTACCTACTCGTATCAAGCCATGGGACTATGACAGAATTCTAATCCTGAACGCAGGTATTACCGTTTCTAAAGTAAGTATTGATCTAATAATTTTTCGCGAACATCTTCTGTGGTGAAGGAATAGCCATGTGCAACTTATGAAAACCCCGTAAGTTTTAGTCTAAACTTTTTTTTCCCCTACCTATGCCGTTAGCCTTGAGAGGCTGTTTCAACGTAACCTTAACTAGTAGGTGAGCTCACGGGGCTCAAACCTGACGACGTTGCTAACACGAACCCTAGCAAGAGCCGTGCTTCGCAGAATCTACCACCGGATCGGAAACGCGACCCACTGAGAAGATCCGGCGAGAAACTCAGTGGGCTGTGTCTGTGGGTTAATTTATTCGTCGAGCCCTTCGTCACAAGCGACGGGTTCGACGAGAATGATGACTGGTGCTTGAAGTACCTAAAAGCACCATTAGTGGACCGGGAGGATCCAAAATGTCGTGTTTGGGGCGACGTCGACTGCTTTCCAATCTGTTCGCAGGATCGGGAATGAGTCTAAGCATTCGACTCACTACACACACCGTTCACGAAATCATTATTGCTCCTAAACCATAAAACGGCGAACACACTTTTATATATTGCAGAGTCTAAAAGTACATAACAATAGTACAAGACTAACTTTTTGTTAAAATGAACGAGTCCTCAAACTTTATTAAAACAAATGTCATTACAAACGACTAATATATAACGGTAGGCAGCGGCTTGGCTCTGCCCCTGGCATTGCTGAAGTCCATGGGCGACGGTGACCACTCACCATCAGGTGGGCCGTATGCTCGTCTGCCTACTAGGGCAATAAAAATAATAATAATATTTGTGTTTACCTAATCAAATCTGAATATTAAATACTATAAACATTAGGGTAGTATTTAATTAGTGACTTTGAGGTAATTCTTTACGTACTTACTCTTACTTTACAAACCATAGAATTTAAAACCACCTTATCAGCAGAAAGCTGAAAACTATGCAAACTTCAACGTTTTTTTTTAAATCCTAAAAACAAAATTATTGAACCGCATCGAATTGTCAAATGCCGCCGCTCTCTGCCCCGGCGGCTTTGTAACCGGAGAAGGACGGGGTCGCGGGTCACAGCCAGGTCGGCCCGCCACAACTAGCTGATTATGTGGCGCCTTGCTCACCAATTATTTTGTATTCGATAACAAGTTGGAAAAAATGTTTTATCGCTTGATATAAAATGTTAAGGATTTCATTTAATTATGTAGGATGTGTGTTGTTGTAAACTTTTTTAGTTCATAGTTCACTACACAGTCCATACTTTACTATTTCGGACGTAAGTTAAAATTAACTAAATATCAAACTGATCTTCTTCGAAAATCATTAAAATAATAATAACATACTTACATTGTTTACTTATATAATATGGAAATAATGAATGCACTACTGGTATGTAGTTCTGACCTGCACAGTATTTTTAAGAATAAGACAATGAAGTTGAAAAATGTCGAAGCGAGCCCGCCGCGTCGTAACTTGACCATTAATGCATAAAAACATTATGTGATTGTTACAAGAGTTGAAAAGAATTGTTTAATTGTCCCGAAACCGGTAGGAGCCGCGGAGACGAGAATTGCGGACTACGGGAATAAAAATACGGTCAGCATATAGTTAAAAAATGAAGACGGCGATAGCTAATCGATAGTAACATTATGTATAAGATTTTATCTGATAAGCGAAAATGTCAGATGTCAACGAAAACTAGAGGTCCCGCAGTAGTCGAAATTCGACTATAATTAATTGGAATTGTAAGTTTGTACACTATTATGATTGTATTTTAGACTTCTATGATCACAAATTTCGCGAAGACTACACTATTAAAAATATTAACAAAGACAAACAATATTTAATCTATTTTCAATTTGACAACAGACGTCAAGAACAAAAGTTTGACAATAAATAGTATGCATGCGTGTGTGCGTCAAATACATGGTATATAGTGTGTGTAATGTTTTCTTTATTGATTTAATGTATCTTTTATGCATTATTTTAAAAAAATGGCATTCTGCACTTCTTCTCTATATTCTCTATAAGTGTGGAAAATTTCATACTCCTCCGTCCGCGCAATTTTCCTAAAAAGGGATACAAAGTTTTTGCTTCACGTATTAATATATAGATAGGAAGTTATACGGAAAGGCAAAGAGAAATTGTACCGACGTGCGGGCGACGTTGCTCGGTGGACCCACCATCAGGATGCTGATTTTGGACACTTGACTAAAACAAATACAAACTTATCGCATATTTGACGCTATTCAGGCTTCCTCTGAGATTGCTTATATGTATGTAGGTACTATGGAAACTACTGCTAATTATAAGCT